TCCTCTGCCAGACCCTGCATTGTCCAAACCCTACGGAACTTCCCAGCTCCTCTCTGAATCTCTCCAGTCCTGTCCTTTCTGCATTGCGTTCCTCCAGCACCAACCAAGCTCTTTCCCCTGCTGGGTGCATCCCCTTCCTCCACTTAACTGATCTCTGCTTCCCCTTCAGGTCTGAGTGCCGATGTCTCCTCCTCCAAGAAGCCTTCCATGAGCCCCTATTCCAAGGTTTCTCAACCCGGCACCCAGTGGTCATCAACACTAGACCAGATCCTGGATTCTTTGGAGGGGGAGGTTGTCCTGTACATGGTAGGATGTTCCTCAGCACCCCCTGGCTCAAGATACCAGTAGCACTCCCTGCCACATCATCCCTGTGACAACCAAAAAGTCTCTAGCCATTGATAAATGTTCCCCGAGGGGCAAGATCGCCCCCTGTTGAGAACCACTACTCCCGACTCCATCTCCCTGCCAGGCGTCCTCACAGCGCCCAGAACACCCCCACCCCAGCCACACCCCCCCCACCCCCGCGCCCCACAGCATTGAGCACAGTGCGATTTGTTTCTGTGTAGTGTTTAATGTCACCTTCCCCTCAAGACTGCATGCTCCACCAGGGGAAAGCCAAACTCGATCTGTCTTCCTCCTGCAATATCCCCAGTGCCTGACACATGTAGATACTCAACACTTTCTGAATAAATGAAAAAAATTCCAAGTACAGTTCTTTCTTTTAATACTATTTTTGAACTGTTAACATTTTCTAGGAGTGCAAATCAGCGCCTACACTGAATTGGGTTTCTCCGGGGAGTGGCTTAGTGAACAGAGCTTTGAAACATGGAATTAAGGGAGACTCTCAATCAATAATAGACCTGATGAACCCCCGACACTCACTAGAATTTTTCCTTTGTGTTGGGAAAGATAGAATTAACACTCCTATATACTATTCTTAAGCAAGAGTCTGGCAACACCAAAGATGGATTGCCCATAATGCTACAAAGAGGCAAAACATAATAACATTTGGGAATCCCCCATAAATAATCCCTTTGTGCCTAGCATAATTTCTAGGCACAAAGGGATTTATGATTTATGTTTCTAATGAAAAGCAAAAAAAAAAAACAAAAAAACCTGGCCTTTAGTGGTCCAAATGAGGTCAGTTATTAGGATTTGCTCAAGTACTGGGCCCACAATATTTGCCTCAGAACAAGTTAACAAAAGAGTCAGGATAGCTCCTCCCTACCCCCCACCCCACCCTGCCATCCCATCTGAAACAGATGCTCTTTCCCCCCCTCCTTATATGCTCCCCGATAAAGAGCTTGACTGTCGGCTATGGGCAAACTCCTTTGGGTCAAGTCCATAACCAAGAGGACCACGTCAACTTGGGAACCCCAGACTACCCGGACAAGAACCCATCCAGATGGCTAAAATCTCTATCAGTCATATCTGCTTAAGAAATAAAAAGAGGGTTTAAAAGTTAAACACACACACACACACACACACACACACACAAAATAACCTGGGATCACTTCTGACTCTTGGTATCCTAAAATGTCTCACTCACTGCAATGAAAAGAATCTGAGCGAGAACTGGACCAGAATGAAAAATCAACCCTAATTTTGGCAGACGCTAACAAATTCAATCCTGACACATACAGAGTAGAAACAGGGATAAGAAAGATAAAAGTTAGTATCTTATTATTTTACCATTGGTTCAAATGAGCTTCTTCACAGATGTGTCAATGAGGATTAGGTTGGCTACTGCCTGTAACAGAAAACTCAAACAATTGAGGCTTAAACAAGACAGAGGTTTATTTTTAATCTCCTGCAATACAAGTCTGGAAATAAGTGACCCAGGGCTGCCGTGGTGCTCCACATGCACCCGGCACCGAGGTGGTGCTATCCTTTCTGCCCTACCATCCTTACTACTGGCTTGTCTTCAAGGTCACCTCATGGTCACAAGATAACCACCATGGCTCCAGCCATCAGATTTACACACAATGGGAAGGAAGATGAAACAAAGACAAGCAAACAAACAACAACAACAAAGCATGCATCCCAGCTAGATCAGCTACCTTTAACAAGCTTCACCAAGAGACCCACACAAAAATCTCTACAGATAACTCAGTGGCTGCCCCTGCTTCCAAAGGCCACTGAGAAACTTTTTCTCGCTGGACACACTGCCTCTGCCACCACCATGACATTCCTCCATCCTTCCCTTCGCCCCCTATATTATTAGTCAGCTAGGGCTGTCTTAACAACAACCATAGACTGGAAACAGAAATTTATTCCTCACAGCTCTGGAAACTAGAAGTCCAAGATCAAGGTGCTAACAGGGTTGGTTTCTGCTGAGACTTCTTTCCTTGGCTTGCAGGTAGAAAAGTCTTCTGTGTCCTCGCACGACCTTTTCTCTGAGTGCAACCCTGGTGTCTCTTCCTCTTCAGAGAAGGATAAGGACATGGTCCTGCTGGATTAGGGCCCCACCCTTATGACCTCATTTACTCCTCATTATCCCCTTGGAGGTCCTATCTCCAAATACAGTCACCCAACATTCCTGATTAAGAGGTTTTTTAGTCAGGAAAAGAAGGAACTACGGGTTATTGAGTAGGCAGATAGCAGTCTCTGCCACAATAGAATCAGTATGTTAAAACTGTAAGAAATGGCAAAGTTCTGGTATTTTATCTAGTTTATGCCTCCTGTTTTATATGAGAAAACTGAGCTCAAACCCACTAGGAGCCACACAGTGGCTGACGTAGAGGTGTGAATAAATCTGATTCTAGAACTGGCACTGGACTTTAGAACTGAAGTTGCAGTGAATTTGGTCTGTATAATCATATGGGTTTAAAATAAATTTTCTATATTGCCTTTTCTCTAAAAACTCAAGTGAATATGCTACAGTTTGTGGGAAAACTAAACTATATATACACCCAGGCCAAACTTATAAGGGAATATTTAGAGTATTTTTAAGCAATCAGTATTGTTCACATGCCTCAGAATTCCTATCATAAGCTCTGTTTTAGCAAGATTCCAAGATACTTGGTTTTGAGATCTATAGAGTGGGTACCACATCTTTCTGCATCCTGGTGCTCCCCCAACACCACCAAAGCAGAGCTCAATAAACTGAGCTCGTGATTTATTTCAGAAACCTCAAAGAATACAGCTTCTTGTCTGTACCAACCCATGAAAGCCAGTTCACAAAGCCAAATGTCTCACAGGGACCTTTTAATAGGTTTTATGTCTTATTTATTGTGCTTATCTGACAACTTCACAATGTTAATAGACATCTCTAAAAATGTGTTGACATTTTGGTTCATTCTGACTGTCCTTCAATGTACTATCAAGTTTGGGCAGTACAGATATTCCCTTAAGTGCAGTAAAAAATAGATATGCACAGCAATACAAATGGGTATTTCAGCCCATACGTTGAATATATTATGTACAAATATTATATCCCCAGTACACCATTATAAAGTGCAGTGCTATAAACAGAATGCCAATTTCAGCTACCACCCACCCCATTTGGTTAGGTGCAAAACTTCCAGGCAGCAAAGCCAACTAATGCAGCCAAGATCACCTAGTCAATTTCCCACCCTTCCAACCTCCCCTTCTCCCTGGGCTGCCCCCCTCCCAGGGATGCATTCTTTCTTCCACTAAAGTAGATCTCCTCCAAGTTCAGTTGCCCCCCACCTCAATTATAGCTTTCTGTGCCTAAGGTGCCCGAACATTTTTAATTACATTGTTGCTTACTTAATCATGCGTGTGAACAATTAATTAACAATTAATCTCACTCTATTTTCCCACACTTAGCACCTATAGAAAAGCGAGGGGTACGCAAATAACGTCCTTATTCGGAGAGTTTAAATCCAAATAAAACCGAGCTGTACAGGTTCCGGTGGGCTCCCAAAAAGCAGTGTGCTATAACGCTACGTCTCTTCCTAAATTGCACCATTCTGCCATTTCTAAAAATCTGAAATTACTGCCTTCTAACAGACTGGAAACACAAAAGTCCAGGTTAGAGGACAATAACCCCGAGAACACTGAAAAGGGAGTAATTTTTTCCCCCAAGCTTTCAAATTTGAACAAATCTCACCATAAATGTCAATTAGAACGATTTTTTTTTTTTAACTTTACCACATCACTTTACGATAAAGGGGAGAAAATGCTCTTTTGAGGAGAACGGAAGAAAAGGGGTTGGGGCATTATGGCTGCAGAAGACCCGACAAGCATTGTTTCCAGAAGTGTTCTCTAATTTTCCCCCATAAAGACTCAAGATTGGGGAATGTCTCTGCCGCCTCCCCCACGCCACCACCGCACACACTGAGGGCCCAGCCGGGCACCCCAACCCTCCCTTCCCGGCCGAGGAATCTGTAGAAGTGCCAAGTTGGCATCTCAGCCCTGGAGACCCAGGCACGGCCGGAAGACCCCGCAGAGAACCCCCGCAGTGGCGGTGCCGTCCCTCGCCGCCCCCCACCCCTCCTGCCCGGCGCGGAGGTGCGGGGCGAGCGGGCGGTCCCGGCCGCAGGGCCCGCCCGCCTCCAGCCTGTGGCGCCCGCGCCGGGCGTGTGGGGCGCGCGGGGCAGGCGGGACGCGGGCGGAAGGCAGGGGGGCGGGACCGCGACCGCCGCTTCCCTGCTCTCAAAGTTTCTTGCAGTTGCACATTCACTCAGCGCTTCCTGTGGGGGTGAGCGCCTCGCCCTCCCGGCTCGGCCGGCCGCCAGCTCCCGGCGGAAGGAGGCGGGCAGACGCGAGTGGGGCCGGGGCGGCAGCGGGACCCAGCGAGCCGAAAGGGGCCGGACGCGGCGCGCCCCAGGGTCCCGGAGAGCCGGGTCCCCACCCGGACGCCGCGAGAGGGCGCTGCCGCCGGCGCGGCGGGGACGGGTCGACGGGACACGGGCGCCCGCGGGGCAGAGCTGGGCCGCCCGGCACCTCCTTCCGCGCGCGGACGCGGGACGCGGGCGGCAGCGCCCGGGAAGCCCACGCCTCTCCCGTGCGCGCCCGGGCCGCCCGCTACTTACCCAGGGAGCAGGTGAGGAGCGAGAGCAGTGCCGGGAACGCGAGGCGGCGGTCGCGGCGAGCGGGCGGCAGCATCCCGGCGGCGGGAGCTGCGCGCCCTACTGGGGCGCGGGGACGGGAGACGCGCGGGGAGCAGAGCTGCGCCGCTGCCGCCCCTGCCGCCGCGGCTGACCCTTCTCCGCCGGCTCCCCTCCTCCCTCCTCGGGCTTCGCCGCTCCGGCTCCGGCCGCGCCCTCTGGCGGCCGACTTCGGGAGCGCCCTCGTGCCGGCTCTAGGGCCGTTGGTTGTGGCTCGCGGCTGTGCCTGGGGTTCCGCCGCCCGTTGAGGGTAGAGGAGGCTGCACCTCCGCTAGGACAGCGACCCACTTCCAGGCTTGTGGCCGCTGCTCCCTCAGGCCATTAGTCTCCAGTCCTTTTTTTCCTTCTTACCTAGGCCCCCTCTTGTACGTTCCTGTCCTCCCACCTTACTCCACCTCCCTTTCCTGATCTCCTGGAGTAGATCAGTAGGTCTCCTTCTTACTCCACCTCCCTTTCCTGGATCTCCTGGAGTAGATCAGTAGGTCTCCTTCTTACTCCACCTCCCTTTCCTGGATCTCCTGGAGTAGATCAGGTTTCCTTCTTACTCCCAAAGTGAGGGTCTGGTGGGGGGGGCGGGGAGGAGACTGGAAGCAGAGTCACTCTTCCTCCCTACTAATGTACCATCTGCTATTAAAAAAAAAATCATTCAACTCAATATTGTTGGCACCCGTGTTCTACGTTGATGAAGGTGTTTTTAATCAGCTCAACTAATTTACTTAATGTCTTCTTTTTTTAATGGGATTTGGCCAATAGCTTAGGCCTGGAATTTGGCTTTCAATAGAAGTTTGTATAAATGTAATTTCGTATAAATGTAATTTTAAGTGTTCACCGTAATGGAAGAAGGAGGGTGTAATTTTATTCAAAATGTCTAATAAAAATTAAATTGGAATACAGAAGTGGAGTGACCTCAGGTGGAGAGTCCCTCTTGTCCCCACGGGACTGTCAAGGGGCTCCCTTCCCAGGAGGTGTGGTAGCCTGGCAGAGGGCTGGCCCCCTTATGTTGTGTGGTGGGTAGAGGAGGAAAGCAGTAACAAATGAAGCACTATGAACCCCCTCTAATGGTTCTTCACTGCTTTGGGCCTCCCCCAATCCTTGACTCATGTCTCTCTCCTAGAAAGTGTATGGGACCAAGTGCCCATCATTTACCTGAGATTAGACCATGACCACCTGACGGCTGTGTCCATGTTCTCATTCATACTTCATATTTTTTGGATGCCTACTCTGTGCCTGGGATTGTGCTAAGCACACTAACCACACCAATATTTTCCACATTCACCCACTTGCTAAACATTAAATGAAGCCCGGTGTCAGGTGGTAGGAATACAAATAAGATGTTGGGATAACAGCAAAGCAGGTGCTGAATGTTTGTTGTCTTGAGCCTTATAAATGTGAAGACCAGGGGCACCTGGGTGGCTTAGTCGTTAAGCTTCTGCCTGTGGCTCAGGTCATGATCCCAGGGTCCTGGAATCGAGCCCTGGTCTCTGGCTCCTTGCTAGCGAAGAGCCTGCTTCTCCTTCTCCCTCTGCCCCTCCCCCCACTTATGCACTTACTCTCTGTCGTATAAATAATCTTAAAAAAAAATGTGAAGACCATTAAGGGGTTTAACCTTGAATACGTTAGGATAGTATTGTCATTTCTCAGTTCAACATCTGCAGCAAGGGTTTTAAAAAGGTCGGAGGCTGTGGGTTTTCTCTCTCTGGTTTACATTGACTTCTTAAAACTGGGAACTAAATATCTTGTGTGTTATCTATTTTGTGTGAATGCAAATCTTGTTCCATTCAGCCAGGGTTTGTGGCTACATGTCAATACTATTTTTATAAAAAGGGAAAAGAAATGTAAGAATCCTTCCTTTCATTTTTTCAGTGAAGCTTCTCAAATTTATAGTTGACTGCATTGATCCCTTTCATCTTCTAAAATGTACCTGCCTGGTTAAGAGTTCTAGAACTTTTCCAATTTCCACAGCTGTTTAGCTTCCTTCCAAAAATATATTCCTCAAATATATTTGATATTGAATATTAAACTAAGGCGTGTTTACACAGACACAGAAGCCTAATAATTAAGCAGCTTGCTTACCGTGTATGTGTTCAAATACCTACTTCATATTTGGTAACAAGCGATTCTAGGTGCTCCATCAGTGTTTTCATCAAAATTCACAATAGGAGAGTATTCTGTGTGCTGGAACAAGGTGTGGGGAATGGAGCCCTAAAGACAACAGAGAGCGCACTCTGTTTAAGTAATAAACCTGCCCTGCCGTTCTCCCGTTCCACAGTAGACATAGATAAATGGCACATTACAAAGCTCCATAACTCACATTTTAAAAAGGATTACCTTTCACTTACTCTAGTCATATGATAAATGGACTTCCTGGGAGTTCCTCTCCCAAAAACAGGTTGAGAGTTTCCTGGAACAAAATGTGCTCGTGAGGACACTAACAGATTCATGGTGAGACACTGCTTGCCATCTGAAACACCAACTGTAAGGGGACAGCTTTTAATGGGAAAAAAATAAATGTCATAAACTCTAAGATTGGGATCTGAAAAAAAGAGCAGGCCTTGGCTCTCTCTTCCTGGAGTTCACTCATCTTGGTTTCAGATGCCACCCCCATACTGGCCCCTGAAAGTATGTCCCTCTCCTGTGCAGGGATGGAGTGAGGAGTCCCCTCTTTTGAGGGAGGAGGGCCTATTACAACATAACTAAAACAGTTGGTAATTTCTAAAAGGATTTTCTAAATGCCAAGAAAGAATATAAAGACATATGCATAAAACCCTAGGTAGTCAAATAATCTAATAAGCAAGCTCCAAATAGATGGTTTCTGAGCTTATAATAACTATAGACCCAAAAGCCTGGACTCCATTCATTCATTCAGTTGATAGTGAATGGCTTCTAGCTTGTGTGTCCATTACTAGGTTCTGAAGCTGATAGAATGAAGCATGGCACTGGGCCCAAGAACTCACAGTCCAGTTAGGGAGATAAAAATGTTCGGGGGCATCTGGATGGCTCATTTAGTTGAGCGACTGAGGCTTGGTTTCAGCTCAGGTCATTGTCTCATGGGTTTGGGATCAAGCCCAGAGTTAGGCTCTGTGGGGCTAGGCTGGGCTCTATGCTAGATTGAAGATTCTCTCCCTCTGCCCCGCCCCCGGCACGCATGTGAACTCTCTCTCTCAAATAAATAAATCTTTTTTAAAAAATGTTTCTGTGGCACCTGGGTGGCTCAGTTAGTTAAGCGTCTGCCTTTGGCTCAGGTCATGATCTCAGTCAGGGTATTGGGATGGAGTCCCCGAGTGGGGCCCTCTGCTCAGCAGGGAGTCTGCTTCTCCCTCTCCCTCTGTGTGCAAACGCTCTCCTTCTATGCACGCATGTGCTCTCTCTTTCAAATAAGTAAAATCTTTTTAAAAAAATGTTCATAAGTAATTTTACTGCCCTGTGATAAATGCTATAGGACAGGTGGATGGAAACACTTTGAAACATAACAGAGGGAAAAACAAAATGGTGGCCATGGGAATCCATCAGTAAGACAGAAGTGACTTGTCCAGTGTCTTAAAGGAGAAATAGGTTCCTGGGCTGAGAGAAAGAGGAAAGCATCCCAGATAGAAGTGCAATATACACAAAGCAAATCAGCCCAAAGAAGTGTGATGTTCTGGGAAGTAGCCATAGGGTGGCGCAGGCTTCTTACCCAGCCTCCTCTGAGCCTGCTACCTCTCTCCCATGACCTGGAAGTTCCTGTACCAGCAAAGACCAAGGGGCAGATTCCAACTCTCCGATCTAGAAGGGCCCTCTCACACGGTTTCAGGAGAGCAGTTCTCTTTGCACACAGAGAAGCGGCCTTGGGGATTATTTTCAAAAACCTGAAATCAGGCCTAGGGTCTGACAGTGAACTAGAATGTCTAAAACTGGGTCTCCAGGACATAAGATCTTTGTGATCATCAGACCTATGATTAAACCATCTGCCAACCATGTTCCACACGCCCAGAATCAGTGCACACCTGATAACAGGAGAGCACCCGGTCACTTCACCTGAAGCTTTAAACTTTAGGGAAGCATGAGAGTCTTTATTCCCTATAGGAGAAGAGTGAACAGGAAGAAAAGACACATAGCACGAACCTTCATGGCTCAGAGTAGATCGAGTGGCCACAGCCTAGCCCTGCAGCAGGTGCTCAGGAGGAACACTCTGATAACACAAAAAAGGTGGTCTCTCCAATGCCCTAGAGGAGCTGGTCTCACTTTTCTTCCAAAGCTATTCAAAAGCCATAGGTAAAACCTATCAAGCCAGACTTTTAAATAAGACTTTTACCCAAAGAGGCTTAACCACAGTATTCTTACAAACTAATCACAGCTCTGAACCAAGATCCGGGAAATAAAACAAAAGTTACCATCTTGTCAGGCCCCGGGACAAGCCCAGAAATCCAAAGCTATTGGTTTTTTGGTTTTCTGTTCTTTTGAAGATACTGTATGGTATAAACACTTCTCTGCAAAAAAAAAGAAGAAAAAAAGCTATCTCCTAGAAACTTCTGATCAGAAACAGATCATCCACTTGTCTGTTTGGTTCTCCTTTCTAGAATCACGTATCCTCCTGTTCTCAGGAAAATTCAGGAATTGCTCCTAATAGGTATACCAACAGGAGCAATAGGAAGTGTCTGCATTTGACTTTTTTTAAAGAAATTTAAGTATATTTTATCTGCCCTCCATGATCCATTCTATTTTTATTATTACTCAATTTATTTAAACTAAAAACAAACACATAATTCATGCATTTTCTCCTATTCTCTACCTCTCCACCGCTGGGAACAAATCTATTCTCCGCATCTATGAGTTTGCTTTTTTTTTTTATATGTACATATATTTTTTAGTTTCTGCATATAAGAGAGATCATATAGCATTTGTCTTTCTCTGTCTGATTTATTTACTTAGCATAATGCCTCCAAGGTCCATACATGTTGTTGCAAATGGTAAGATTATTCTTTTTCATGGCGGAATAATATTCTTTATTATTTCTTTTTTCTTTATCCATTCATCCATCAGTGGACACTTAGGTTGTTTCCATATCTTGGTTATTGTAAATAATGCTGCAATGAACATTGGTGTGCAGATATCTTTTT